GCCAACTGCGCGCCCTAGCGCCTCGCCAAACCCTGCGGGTGCAAGCGAGATCGGGGCACGTCAGGGCCTTGGCTTTGCTTCCTGAGCCCCGGCCACGGGCCCGGATACAGTGGGAGAGAGGTCACCTTGAGGGGCATCCGTGCCCACCGCGTGGAGCCCACTTCAACTTGGGCCCAAAATCAACTTGGAGAGGAGCCCCAGCCTGCTGGGCCCACACCAGGGAGTCCCAAATCCGCCTCTGACTGTTTGGAGACCTTGTGCGGAGAGTCAGACACCCCCACTGGCTCACACACACCTGGAACCACTCATTCATCCCCAGAACCTAAAATTATCTACCTTCAGCTTCCTGGGGTGATGATGCTGGACACTGGATTCCACAGGATTCTGAATTCCTTAAAACTCTGAGAAGGTACACTTAAGATTTGTTCATTTCATTGTATTTGGACCCCTCCGTAAAAAAGAACCATCAAATATTAAACCCTGGTTAGTGATGTGTGTGCAGAAGTTTTTAGGTGGGTGCTGATGACTGCAGTTTCCTTTGAAGGCCATCCAAGCAATAACACGCACTGAGGGCTGGCCAGCTGGATGGTGCAGTCTTGTTCACAGCAGGTCTGTAGTCCGTGCAAACAGGGATTAGCAGGGGCTGAACCGCTGCTGCAGGGGACATGCAGGGGTGGGTTCCTTCGAGCCTCTGGTCACATTTCCATTAGCCGAGCAGTACATGACCTTGTAAGACGCCTCCTATTGTTGATTCATTAACATTGAACGCTCAGCCGATAGCACTACACCCGTAAGCTCATCTAACTTGCACTTTTCCATATGGATCCTCACCGCCGTCTTGCACCGAGGAACGCTAGACAGCATTTGGGGGCCAGTTAAACTGAAATCACCAACAAACAGCACAAAAATGAGGCACCAAGTAGACCGTGAGGACATTTGCTTCCAGTGTGACAACTAAAAGGGAAGGCAGAGAGTACCTGCTCCTGGTCAGCAGGAATGCGCTGATAATGTTGGAAAAATGGTCTCCCCGCTGCAGTTTCTGCTCATTTCTCACTAAGGTGGGCCCAGCAAGGCCCCGAGGCATAGGCTGTGTTCAGGAACAGGACCTGGGTGCCTTTCTCAGTGACACACATGTACGCAGTGGCACAAAGAAAGCTCTTGTGGACTGAGGAAGGCTGCCCCGCCCCCTGGCGGTGCAGGGACATGGAAGGGTGGGTACTGGGTCCGAGAGGAAGATCAGTCAGTCCTCACGTAACGTCATTGACAGGTTCTTGGAAGCTGACCTTAAGCAAGATGATGTACAAGGACCCAATTTTACCATAGGTTAATTGATATAAACAAGAGTTCATACGGCGTATTTATGGCTACAAAAACACCACCAAACTTCTAAATAAAGGCCCAAAACTCTTCTAATAGTAAATGCTGACCGTGGCCAGGTAGGTCAGTTGGTTAGAGTATCATCCCGATTCACCCAGGTTGTGGGCTCAGCCCTCTGTCAAGGCACATACAAGAAACAACCAATTAATTCATCTCACTCTCCCTTCCTCCCTCTCTCATTAAAATCAAGAATAAAAATTTAAAAAAACAACATTGAAATAACTGTGAGCTAGGCATACATTTAGGAGAGGTGAGTAAAAACAAGTATGAGAGTTCCTTTCCAACCTGCTGATCCAAGTCAGGGTCAGGTACTCAGAGCCCACATGGCAGCTCAGGCGCCAGGGACCCAGCCTGGACGGGCGCCCTTGCACACTCACACACACACTCACTCAGCCGGGGACGCTGTAGACTCGCTGATTCCTCTCATGTGCTCATCTTGGGATGTGGAAGGAAGCCCGAGTCCCTGGAGAAAACCCCTACAGACAGCAGCCCAGCTGAGAATCAAAAATTTTTTTTCTATATATTTTTTTCAATATTATAACGAAACAACATTGAACAAAAAACCACGTTATTGGAGGATCTGCCCTACTGAAATGGGAGTCATTTCAGGAGAGGCCTGGGTCAGGGCGACCGGAGGAGGGGCCAGAAGGGACTTTCTAACCAGGTTGTTTCTGACACCAGGGTTGGGAGGGCCAGGTTGGAGGCGATGAGCCAGGGGCTGCAGACTCAGTCCCCATTCCACCAGAGGGTTTAGCTGGAGCCAGGAGAGCTCCTGGAGCCGACCTGGGGAAACGGAAACGTGCCTTCGCACGAAACCTGCGCAGGAACCAGAGAGCCGTCTGCTCGTAATTGCCAAAACCAGAAGCCACTCGCATGTTCTCGGCAAGCGGGCAGATAAACAGTGGAGCATCTCTACACTGAGATACCACTCAGCCATCCACCGGAACCGAATGCTGATACACCCAACAGCAGGAATGAACCTCAAAGGCCCACGCCCAGTGAAGAAGCCAGGCCCCAAATGGCCACTGTCCGATTCCATTCAAAGCTGGGTCCTTGGAGAACGCGCCAGTGGCTGCCAGAGGCTGGGGCGGGGGCAGGACTGACTCCAAACGGGCATGAGGGGATTTCTCGGTTGAGATGGTAGTTTCTCAGCTCTATGCACTTGTCAGATCTACAGAATTTCTCATGAGTGGATTACTGAGTATGTAATTTATAAATTAGTTTTTTAATTAAAGGGGGATAGAAGAGCTGGGAGGTACAGACACACCAGGCACTAAATAACTGAAACAGGAAGCAGAGAGCTCCCCTTCTTGACTCCGACCCTCTCTCCCAGCCTCAGG